GACTATACGTTCAATTTATACCAAAATTACTTTAATTCAACGTAAGACAGTCTACTGAGCATCAGTAATATAAAAATGTAGCCATGGAACTAATTTTAGAATCGTATACAGAAGGTTGAATCTGATTGGCCAAACTTTTTATGTTTATTTATAATCGAAAGGTCACTTTCATGTGACCCCTAATGGGATTTTGTTAGATGTTTGAGAAGCGGTAGCTGATTCGGAACATCTAATTTTAATTAGATTGGTTTTATGTTTTGCCACTGACTTTCGAAAGAGCTATCTTCCTCTTGTTCCAGGTTTTCTAGCACTCTAAATTGGTTTCTTAGTTCCATACAGAATTTTCTTTGAAAATCATGCTCATTGAGATGCTTGGTATTGATAACCTTTCTCTTTGACTTAATTTTATTATTTGATTTCTTCAGTCTCAGTGTCTGTTTAGCAATGACAAGGTGCCCCTCTGTATGATCTAGTATCTGGAAGGGATTTTCTCAATTCCCCATTAATGATCATATGGTCAATTTGGTTTTTATCATGGTTATTTTGTGAGTCCCATGTCATTTTGTGGATTACTTTATGTTTAAAGATGGTTCTCCAATGACAAGTCCATTTGTGGAACATAGATTTGCAAGTTTTTCTTCATTTTCATTCATTATTCGAACCCCTTCTTTTCCCATAGATCTTTCATATTGGCTGTTGTCATTTCCAACTTTTGGTCTCCCATTACTAATAGGACATCATGCTGTGGTGGTTTGTAAATTTGTGCTTGTAGTGCTTCATAAAAGCATCTTTCTATTCGTCTTTGGCATCATTAGTTGGTGCTGCATTGAATGACATTGGTCTTTGCATAGGTGGAATTGAAGCGAGCTCTTATTAGTCGTTTGTTTATTGGTTCCAATTCAATAAGACTTTTGGCACTTTATGTTGATTATCAGATCTTCCTGAGTAAAGATAGTGTGGCTGTTAGAGACAGTCTTTCCTGATCCAGTCCATCTACATTCACTGACACCCATGATAGCAACATCATACCTGTCCATTTGTTTAATGACCTGGGCTGTTTTGGAGACTAATGGTACATTGTCCTTACACTCCATGTAATAAACTTGATGGGTTTTATGGCATCGAGCTCTTGAGCTCGAATTCCATTTAGTGGGTGACCAAACTTTATGCGACCGAATGTGTCAGTCCATGCATCCGCAAAAGAAAATAGCAACAACAATGCATCGATTTCTTTGAAAATATTCACAGTGAATAATAGCTTGAAAATAAAATTGCATCAATTATATCTACAAATAATTTGTCACATAACAAAGATACCCTGTTTTTAATTTTTATTTTCACACAAGAAAAACATGACAGTTCTTGCGGATGAATTTCTAAAGAAAGGCTGTGTTGAATGACATGAATAACATTTACGAAGGAGAATCATGTAAACACAAACAACTTATATTAATAGGCGGTAAAATAACCACAATATTAAATTAACACGAATTGCAGCATAGTTAAGGTGTACAACGAGCAAATCAACGGAATATGAACGTGCATAAATACACACCTTTTTAAACCGAATTTATTTTTGTAAAGCTACTAGATCATCACAAGAATTTAAAGGTGCTTAGACACAGATTTGAAGTTAATATTTTCTCAAATTTTCTGTATAATATCACGACTTATATATTGCAATAGCATTTCACACGAAAATATGATTAAAAACTTATTTTATCTGGAAATTATTGGAACTACGAATTCCTGGATGCGTTTGATTCACACATCCTTGCACTTTCACAAATTTTTCTTTATCCTTAATATTTAAGAAATGAAGCTATTTTTTGTGTATTAATGAAAAACATTACATCTATAATCCAGAAAACTCAGAGTAGAAATGTGTGAAAGCAAACCCCCTCACTAATATCGTCAGCCCGTGCTCAGTGTTGTGTACAGAGTTAAACAAATTGAATACACCCGTGAAACATAAACTGTTTTTGTAAACAGGGCACGAGCTCTGTTATTGTTAATGTTTACGATTCACCAGGTGTGTTCAATTGTTAAAGTCTGCACACACCACTGAGCATGGACTGACAATACTGTGAGTGGATTTTGCTTTCGAACATTTCTACTCTGAATTTTTCTGGATTATAGTTTTAATATTTTTCATTAATACACAACAAAATTGCCACTTTTTTTAAGTATTAAGAATAAAATTAAAATTTGTGAAAGTGCAAGGATGTGTCAATCAAACACGTCCATAAATTTGAAGTTTCAATAACTTCGAGATGAAATAAGATTTTTATTATATTTTAGTATGAAATGCTATAGCAACATATAAGTCATGAAATTATGCAGAAAATTTGAGAAAATGTTAACTTCAAATCTGTGTCCAAGCACCTTTAATATTATATTGAAATAACATTGTATACCCTGCTCTGTATTGAATTTGATTTGGTCATGTTATTTGACAGTCACATGATAAATGTATGTAATGTGTACTGTATGTAGGTCATGAACAAATTTCAATATCGCAAGGGCATACCATAGTTCAAATTAAATATTTAAGCTATAAATTTTTTCTACATATCTTGTATTTTATGGAAAGTGCTGCTGCTTTAAATAGAATTTGTATTTTATTAGTTTAAATTTCAAGTTATTTAGCTCTAGTCGAGATATGTATGACCTTTACCAAGTATTTTATTATTTATTAAGTTAAGCTCTCGATTTCAGGAAAGCAGCAGCACTTTTCAAGTTAAGGAATGTTTCCGTTATGCATATGTAAAAAATGGCCAAAATCTATAAACCATATGTCCCTGCGAAAACACGATTTAATGAGGCACCTCAGCGTGAAACATGGAAACCCTGTTCAAAAAACATGGTAGAATTGATTTAATACATTCTCTCGATGGTTTTTAAATGATGGCACTAAACAAAGGTTTCAGATTTGTATTAATGGTCTATCTAATATTGCAAATGATATTCTCTTTAATAATAAAAATGCATTTTTCACTGTGAAAAAATTACTTGATCCGCCTGTCACTGCACATAAAATGCATCAAATTTTACCATGATGACGACATGTTGACAAGTGCATTGCGATAAGTGACTTGTTTATATCTTTGCTGTATGGGATTTAACTAGAGATAAAAATGAATACAGTGGTAAGTTTTGATGTAGTTCATTACTCATATGCAGTTTAAAATGAATTGCTATTTTTGTGTGATGTCACAGTAAGCATTTCCCTTATAATTAGGCTCCGCCCCCTTTATGCAGCCTTAAGAGAGCTGCGATGCTAGAAGACTAAAAGGATTGAATTTCCAAATGTAAACCTTACTTTTACAATCTTGTAACCAATTTTATCATAAAAACTGAAGTTATTACTGTATTTCACCATTTCTTCCATATCACATTTTACCGTATAGGCCCACCATGCCCGATCATATCTCAATCATAATCGCAACAGAGCGAGTTACGGTTGTTGTTGAGATGCACTAAAACAATGCTTAGACATTGACAGTTAGAAAAATATTCATATAAATTCATTAAATCCTTGATGTTTCTTTAATTGACTGAAAAAAAAGATGAGTTTGATATCCAGCATGAACATGTTTGATGGTGTCTAGTCAATTCGAACCCTGCTCTATTCGGACCATGGCATAATGCCCCAGACTGTAAATTTGAAAATTTGTTTAAAACTTAACATTTTTATTAGTCAATTATTTGACCTACTGCTATCTTTAAATTAAAAAAAATGTTTTGAAATTGTTTTTCATGTTCGATGCCATTGAAGCCTTTCAGGCTTTTGATTTTTATCCATGAGGTTACGATTCCTGCTTAAGGTCTCCCTTTGTGGGCCTTCACCTTGTACATTCAAACTGTTGCTTTGGCAACCCGTTTCCTCAGGGATTCCTGCTGTATGTTGATTTCTTGCATTGATTTCTGTAATAAGTTTGTTTCTATGAGATGAGGTTAATTATTAGCCTCATGCTCAACCCCCTACCAGAAGGACCAGGGGTTTTTCCTTCTGGTACCCATCCTATAGATCAACAAACTTCCAAGGCTGATGAGTCAAGATCTACCTGGATTTTTATATCAGAGTGTTTCTTCTCCTAGTTGAGCTGCCACCCAAGAGTAACATTCCTCAACTGAATGACTATTTACCTATAATTGGGGCAAGGCTGATGAGTCAAGATCTACCTGGATTTTTATATCCGAGTGTTTCTTTTCCTAGTTGAGCTGCCACCCAAGACTAACATTCCTCAACTGAATAACTATTTACCTATAATTGGGGCAAGGCTGATGAGTCAAGATCTACCTGGATTTTTATATCTGAGTGTTTCTTTTCCTAGTTGAGCAGCCACCCAAGACTAAACATTCCTCAACTGAATGACTATTTACCTATAATTGGAGCAAGGTTGATGAGTGTAAGGGCATGTCCACACACCCAAGGGCCTACACACTGCATCTCTGAGTTCCTTGCTACTCTGAATCCCCTTCAATTTTTCCTGGGATGCAAGGACTCCAGTTTCTGTGCATTGCCATGGGGAGGCATTGAAGGAGTCTTGGTGGTTTAGAGGCTTGGTACTGGCAAGGAAAGATTTACGCATTCTACTCTCCTTTTCTCCTAGAAGTAGACTAGCCAATGGCAGCAATGGATCTAGAGTCATGGGAAGCCACCAACACGCTTCATACCTCACACTATTTTTCATTTGTTTATGCTATAGCACTTTATGAAAATCAATGTTTGGAATTCTAAAAAAAAAAAGATAGTGAAATTTAGAGAAGAGGGTTATTACACCTTAAAGGTATTTAGACCTTGCAAAAAAGTGATTTAATGAGACACCTCATTGTAAAACATGCCAACCTTATACACAAGATGGTAGAATTAATTCTGTCAGTACTTCTCTTGATATGGTATTAATTAAGGTTATATGTGAATTGGTATTAATGGTCTATTAAACATATAAAAATGATATTCTGTTTAATAATAAAATGCATTTCAATTTTTGCAGGTTGATGTTATAGTCAATTCTTCAAATCCTTCCTTAAAACTAAAAGATGGGTTTGTATCATCACTTATTTTGAAACATGGTGGGCAGGGAATACAGAATGAATGTGCAGATAAATATAAAGATGGCATAGGCATTGGAGATATTGCTGTCAGCTCTGCTGGAAAACTGAAATGCAAGAAAATAATTCACTGTGTTTTATCTGGCAGCTGGGTGTCAACTGGAAATATTTCTTTGAAGGTAAAATTGTGAAATTCTTTTAAAAATCTACTTGTGGTGACACTCATTTGTTTTAGCACTCCATTATTTTTCAGGAATGGAGAGATCCAAATAGTTCCCATTGAAACCACAATTTCCCTGACAAGTTCTCCATCCAGTATCTCTATATTGGTGCTAACCTTGCTGAAACTTAATTAGAAAAATGTTACTTACTTATATAGTTGCATTTCAATTAGAAAAAGTCTGATGGTGCTGGGGATCAAACCCATTACCCTAACTGAAGACCTGTATGCTTTATACTAAGCTAATGTTGATATATTTTAAAAGCTGTTGTTGTCAGGGTATTTAAGAGAAAATTCATAACAGTTTACACTTTCATTTCCATATTAAAATCTAGACCTGCTGAAGACCAAATCCTCTCAATGCCTTCGAATTGCATTTAGGACACGATGTTTAGTATGTGGTGCAGACATCTGTTTGTGAGGGTTTGTAGTTTGAGATACAGTGTAGTCTGCTACTTAGGGACAGAGGGAAACATGATGCCACACTAGTTCTTACATTGTCCCAGGTCTCCTTCCTTTTTTGATTCATTTTCACAACTTGGTCAAATTTGTATTGGGACATGCATATAGGTAGAGGGCCTGATCGAGGCGCCATGTGTTTATCACACCTTGTAAAATCCACCTGTGACGTCTGAACTCTTTGAGCGCTCCATTATTTTTCAGGAATGGAGAGTTGCAAATACATTGAAAACAGAATTTGTTATTAACTCACCTGAACCGAAGGCTCAAGTGAGCTTTTCTGATCAAAATTGGTCTGTTGTCTGTCGTTGGCGTTGTCGGCATTGTCGTAAACTTTTCACATTTTCATCTTCTTCTCAAGAACCACTGGGCCAATTTCAACCATACTTGCCACAAAGCATTCTTGGGTAAAGGGGATTCAAGTTTGTTCACAGGAAGTGCCGTGCCCTCTTTCAAGGGGAGATAATTAAGAATTCGTGAAAATTTGGTGGCATCTTTTAAAAATCTTCTTCTCATGCAAGAACCACTGGGCAAGAAAAGATGAAACTTATATGAAAGCTTCATTACATACTTCAGATTCAAATTTGTTCATATCATGACCCCCGGGGGTAGGTCGGGGTCACAACAGGGGGGTCAAAGTTTAACATAGGAATATATAAGAAATATCTTTAAAAATCTTCTTCTCAAGAACAGCAAAGCCATGATTAGTCATATTATTACAGAAGTATTCTCAGGTGTGTAGATTCAAGTTTGTTCCAACCATGACCCCTGGGGCTGGGGCAGGGCCACAACGGGGGGGGGGGGGGGGTCAAAGTTTACCATAGGAATATATAGGAAATGTCTTTAAAAATCTCCTTCTCAAGAACAGCTTAGCCATTATTAGACATATTAATACAGAAGTATCCTCAGGTAGTGAAGATTAAAGTTACAATCATGACCCCTGGGGATAGAGCCGGGCCACAGCTGGGATGGGGGGTCAGTGTTTACCATAGGAATATATAGGAAATATCTTTAAAAATCTTCTTCTCAAGAACAGCTAAGCCATTATTAGACATATTAATACAGAAGTATCCTCAGGTAGTGTAGATTAGAGTTTGTTCAAATCATGACCCGGTAAAGTCAGTCATTCAGAAGGTAGCTGAAGAATCAGCAATAAAAAAGTTAAGGTATTCCATCCTAATAGCAAAAGATTCAATGAAATTGAATATATAACAGAAGTGTAGGTGTTGAATGCCTGTGGATTTAAATAACTTCAGTACACTTTTTTCGCCTTACTTTCTCTCTCTATATATAAATAAATACTACTAATATGTTGAATGTATATTTACAGTGTATCTTATAAATATTCTTTATTATATATTAACAAACAATAATTACAAGCATTTAAGAAGTTGGATTTTATGCGGGTTAGTATACTCGTAGCACTCCATTCCTTAAAAGCAATAGGTCTCGGCCCCTTTGGGGCCTCGGCTCCATTACTTTTAAAGAATGGAGCGCTACTCGTACATTAACCCTTACTTAAATTCTTGGGTCTTGACAAGGGCAAGTGTACACCTAATCTACAAATCTGCCAATTTCAATTATCACTACCACACATGTTATTTAAACATTGTTATATTCAGTGAAGGATAGTCTCTATATTTGCGGTTTAGAGGAATAGGCAACATATATCAGCTCCTCCAAAAAATTTTGATGGTCATTTATAATTTTTACCATTGATCCACAAAGAGACTTTTCCTACATTTTTAAAGATTTTGATTCTGATTAGCAGATTGATTTATTGTGACATAATGATACCTTAATGATTTCCAGAAAAACATAACCTCATAATAAAAAATAGGAAACAAAACCATGGCAATATTCACTAGAAACTACAATCAGGAATGCATGCAGATGATACATGGGGTAGAAATTATTTGTTTCCAGTGAGTTTTTGAAAGTTAATAATACTATTTTATTGATTTGTTGTAATTTTCATATACATGTTACAAAACAGTTATTGACTGTGCTTCTGAGCAATATTGATTATGTTAGCCCCCTCAGAATGAAACTTTGCCTTACTTCTAGCATACATGGTAACTTTACTGCTTTTTACCTCCATCTCCAGCCTATCACTTTTATTCGTAAATCTACCGCTTTTCTACAAAATCTATTTTTGGTTCACTTGGGTAGCCATTTTTGAAGCCACTCGTCATAAAATCTCGTTAGGTATCGTGTGATTTGAACTGGGAGCATTCATTTGCCTGCTGTTTACACAGAATAAAGCATGTGTTTGACAACAACACGTGCACAAATCTCTGATTACATTGGTTATGATAAATTTCGTTGACATCCCTGCCAAGAAACAGGGAGATAAAGTATTCTTGAAGTGAATGAAAATGTTTGACATCGTTCAGTAAAGTAAAAAAGGGAATCAGCATTCATTTATAGCGAGCGCAGCGAGCTCTAAAGACAACGCCTAGCTGAAGAGAAAATTCAGACTTGCACATTGATCCAAATGATTTTTTTTCTGCAGTAATTTCTGGACCCACAATGCATCGCTTGTAAAGGTTACGTTCTCGAGAGAACAACAATAAAATTTCAACAAAAATAAACTTGCCTTGATTTAATGATTATGTTGCAGATAAATAGTAAATAAAAGAAAAAAAAACTTTCTTCATTAAAATCAGCTCTGTTCAGGCTTCGGTTTGGTAATGCAACTTTTATATACGACGTCATTTGACGTCAGAGTATCTAGATGCACCAAATGTCAAGTGCGGTTTGAAGAGACGGGTCTAAATAGAAAATAGTACACTGAAAAGGTGTATCTGCACTGGCTCTAACTAGTGATTTAAGGCCCTTGGGCCTCTTGTATTGATGTGGAATCATCCTCAGTTAGAGTAGATTCAGGTAGCGTAGATTCAAGTTTGTTCAAATCATGACCTCCGGGGGTAGGGTGGGGCCACAATGGGGGATCGAAGTTTTATATAGGAATATATAGGAAAAATCTTTAAAAATCTTTTCAGGAACAGGAAAGCCATGAATTGTCATATCGATATAAAAGCATCCCCAAGTATTGTAGATTCAAGTTTGTTCAAGGCATCCCCCAGTAGTAGGGTGGGGCCGTAATGGGGGATCAAAGTTTTACAAAAGAACATATATAGGAAATATCTTTAAAGAGCTTTTTCTCAAGAACAACAAAGCCATGATTAGTCATATTGATATTGAAGCATCCTCAGGTAATGTAGATTAAAGTTTGTAGATTAAAGTTTGTTCAAATCATGAAATTATCAATGATAATAACATTACACTACATCTTTTACCTAAATTGTGAAATTCATGAAGCTCTTGTCCATGGTTCAGACCCCAGGGTGGGGCTATGATGGTCATGTGTTAAAGGACAAGGTATGGTAATGGCTTAATCTGGCCCATTAATTGATGTAAAAATCAGAACACAGTTAAAATTGTGATAGTTTGTAAAGAACTTAAAATGATGCTTGTTTTAAAAACCAGCACTAATTTTGATTCAAAGCTTACAAGGAGGCCACAAGAGGGTGCAGAAGTAAGACATTTTCCCAAATTTCCTCAATTCTGGTGGAATTTTGTCACATTTGAGATATTTTCACTTCTGGAAACATAGAGCACAAGCTTGCCTATCTGAGAATTTTTTATACATAAGATGCATCTGAGACTAGTATATGAAATATATAATTTAGTAGATAGGCAATCTTGTGCTCTACATTTTCTGAAACAAAATGTGCTGTAAAATCGATGAAAATTTGCTTAAAAATGAGAAAATTCGGAAATTGACATATTTTCTGACCTTCCTGTGACCTCTGTGTATCCCATAACTTAGAACCAATACTCATTTTGTGGCAGGGGTGACAACAGGTTTTATTGATAAACTGTTGCATCATTCTAAAAGACACCCCAAACCAGGGGCCAAAAATGGGTCTTAGCCTATCTTGTCTTTTCCATTACTTGAGGACATCTAGCAGGCAAATTGTTTGAATGACAATAAGCAGATATCCCTCTTCAAACTTTACAAAAATAATGTTCCAGGGGTCCAGGGATCAGTCCCAAGGGTGGGTAAGTTGGTTATTTATATAAATTGTTATTACACAGTTTCCAGGTCCAAAAGGTCAAAGGTAAAAGGCCATTATTTGTATTCATTATGTTTGATATCATATATCAATTTATTGAAAGAGAAAATGTGATAGGTTATAAAGGGATGCAGTACTAATTTGTGATATCTCTGTTATATTTGATAAAAAAAGTTGTATTTCTTTCTTTTTTTTCCTTAAAACAACAGATTTTGTCAAGTCTTGTGAGGAAATGTCTTTTGGCTACAGAGAAATATGAATTCACGTCAATAGCATTTCCAGCACTTGGGACAGGAAATCTTGGATATCCATACATCCATGTAGCACGAACAATGCTAAAAGCTGTGAATGATTATGGAAAACAGTTTCCAAACACCTGCATCAAGACTGTGCATATTGTGCTTCATGAATC